TTTTCATTACATAAACTTTTATGTGAGTGTTTAATATTAGAATTATTATTTCTTTCATATCCTAAATCATATCGGAACTAATCAACATTCGGCAAAAAACTTCATGAACATAGTATAAATGTCAAACTTTTCCTTTATATGAAAAAGCCATGTTATTCCATTTCTTCCATGAATATCAACAAAAGAAAAGCATCTCGAACTTCACATAAAGGTGGGCGATTGAAGTTCACTTCATGTCTTTCTGCCGTCAAAATTCTATCGATTTCTCAAAGTATGTTTGTTTGTAGTTGATAAAACCGAAATGGAGCGTAGTGTTGATGCCAAACGTAATATGATTTTCCAGCATCTGTAAATGAATTTTCATTAAAATAGAATTTTCTTGCTTTGATTCATATGTCTACAGTTTCTACGAATAAAAAAGTAGACTGCTTAGAGTGAAAGAGAAAGAATAAAAGATTCTTAATCGAAAATTCACTTAAAAATATTTCTTTTGGATATTTGACTATATATCTCCGAGATAATTTAATCTCATTTCTCAGTTTATTTCGTTCTTTCAAAGAGCATACTTTTATTGTGCCTTCAAAGCATCTTTTAAAATTATGAACGAGTTGATATCGGTGCCACTAATAAGGCCTATATAAGATAGAAAAAAGCGTACTTGATGAAAGTAACATCTTTAAACTACTCAGATATTTGTTCACAGTTGAGTAGACTGAGGTGGGATAAAAATTCTGGACATATACATACTAGAAAATAAATTCTGATTTTAATTAGTTCGTTTTGATTATCTTTAATGGCAACTAGACATTCGAAACATAAGTAGATACATATATAAAGACCTGCTAGTTTACAGTTTTGCACAGACATCGTTTTAGATCCTTCTAAATATTTGTTCTTAATGCTGTAATCTAAGTCAAAAATAAATCTGAATATATATAGAGAGACAGAGTATGAAATACTCAGTCTAGCTGACTACTTTTTTCTCTTCAGTTGCTTAAAATCAGTTGAACATTGAATGGTAATTTTGCGCAAAGACTTGGTGCACATAGGTTAAAAATTATGAGTAGTCTAATTACCGGAACTAAAAGAAATTGGATGTAATAGATTATACATTGTTTACAAGAACAAGAGACTATTTCTGATAATGAACTGATTTTTAATTGATATTGTATTAGAAAAATTGTTTTAAATCATAAAACAGAATATGATAAACGAGAAAAAATAATATTTACTAGTTTTTGTTCATTTATAATAAATGAAATACTATTTTATGTGCGCTACAATTTGAGAAAAAAATTATTTAAACAAGTCGGTACTTATATATTTCATTGTTAATATCTTATTATTTGTGATAGATTGTATTCACATCACATCAAAATCCAGAAAATGAAAACATTTTTATATTCGCTTTTTTTATTTTATTCAAACGATAATATACATAAAACTTATATCTTTCGTTAGCGACACGAAACGCCCTCTTTCATATTTAGAGGTTATGTGTCATTTTAATGCAATGGCGATTTTGTGTGTGTACGTCGAAGTGTGTGTAGATTATCTCAACCATCATTCGTCCAAAAACTATACTTCCGAGTAATAATTCTCTCAGTATTTTTTTGTAGTCCAGACGAGCAAGTGGTTTTCTTGTTTCTTCTATTTCTAAGCCTTTTCCATGATACAAAAGCATGTGAGTCACAGGAATTTTCTTTGTCGTTTATTTGCTTAAATCATCACTTTTCACAGCATTTATTTCATAAAAAGCAACCAAATAGAATTTCATCATATCACAAGTAAGAATTTCGAATATAGGAGTAACTAATTTTATTACAGTCACTCATCATTTCTTGCATGATTTAATTATCAGTATTAAGTTTAAATTCAGAAGTTAAGAACTGTTACTTAACCCTCAAGATTGCTGAAGAAAATTTGGTAATACTCACTTCGTTACTTATTATTAAATGTTAATAAGTCAGTGATGCTTAAAATTAAATTCAACTTTTCTACTTAGTACATCATTCATATAAAATCAACTTTATATGATTTTCTTAGGAAAACACCATTGAATTTCAACTTTCTATCTATTGCTATACGGACTTAACAAGATCTTGTCAAAATCGTTCAAGAGAGAAACCTTTCCAATCATTTGATCAGACCGGTTAATACTATCTCTTCTTCATTATTACCAGCAGAAAGAATTGTGTTATACGAAGAGATTAAACATTTAACTGAAGTTCTATCTTAAATTGATGAGACTACAATATGCGAAGTCCTTATAAGAGTGCAGAAAAAATCTAAAATAAATGTTGAGTAGAAAAAATTAAACTGAACATTAAGTATTAAGTGGATCGTTAGTATGTACTATAAAAGAAAAACAGTGATACATACCATTGGTTTTTTTTCATTTATTTTAAATGTTGAGTAAATAGTGTAGCCGTGGATATGTTTAATTCATCAAAACAATATGCGTGTCTTCAGATACATAGTCACATATCGAATACACATTAGTTTATAATTGTGGTGAAACATTTCTGCGATGATTTTTCCAAAGCACGACATCGATTTTGGTAAATTTGTATATCGCTTCTATCTCTCTGTCGTATTATGAAAAGGAATAATTGCATATTCTGATCAGAGCTGCCGCCTGGTCACTTTCTTCGGCCTGACTGGGCCTGCAGGCTGTTGGAAGTACATAATAGAAAAACTTGCACAGTGTGCATCACACATTTTTCTTGTTCTCGCAGCGTAGTCTCGATGATATGTTTCGTCCTTCTGAATTTAGATGATAAAAGTAAAAACTTCCAATAAACAGAAAATCAAAAGATACAGAACTGGACGACAAATAAAATCTTCTCTTAACAAAGAATTATGCTTTCAAATCAGTTCTAATTCCATTAGTGCTGTTTTATAACATTAAAAATGTGTATCATTAGCAAGAAACCATACAAACCGAAAAACAGAAAATATTATTACTGTCCAAATACGTTGATCTTAGCTTATCACCTGCCTTTTTATCGATTTCTTAGAAGCGATATACGTATTGCAACTCTTAAGACGACGGATGTTCATTTGAATTCACATGAAAGTCGACTGCTTTGTAAGAGTTATATCCATGTTTTTGAACTGTAGTTCAGCTTTCGATTATTATATCGTCTTTCATTTGCATTCTACGGTCGCGACTAGAACTATCTTATGTATGATCTTTTACAAAACTTCATGTACTCACCCTCTTCTGTTAATTCTAAATGATTTATTTTTTCTTTTTTATCCTTTCACTGGGCAACAACGAGGCCCAGTATAAGAAAAAAAAAGAAATCGTTATTGTTGTTAGTCAAAAATAGTTGCTTATTATATTCGTCTACTGAATCATATTGAGTTGAATTGCATAAATAATCAGTTCTATCCTTGTTATGTATTTATTTTTCGTATCTATTAAGGCATACTCTAGCTCAATTATAAGTTCAGATGAAACTACAAACAAAATGAAATTAATTAAAAAGAATTATCTATCATCAAGAGTAGATGTAGCCTTTTGACTTCACTTAAACTTCCAAAGATGGGTGCTACTATGAACTCTTGCAATTAATGGGAGACTAGAATCGATGAAAAAAGCTGTTATCATTAAGGTGAACCCCTTTCATTCAAAACAGAATACACTGAACTAATAAGTTCACAATTCTGTTTAATGAAACATTCACTTAAAGTGATAGAAATCGAGACGTGCACCAGGTGCTCATTGTAGAATTGAAACATATCAAAGTTTAATATGAAATCTTACCTTTGACAACTTTACAAAAGTCTTTTAAACCTATAATATCGATTCTAATCAGAATCGATCGATAAAAAGAGAACTTGGTTACGTTTCATCTAGGTCACAAACTTCGGCTTGGTAGGCGCCAGCAGGCCAGGCTGGCAGCTCTGATCCTAATTATATTCGAGACACCAAATCGAGTTCCATGAAAACACTTGCATGAGCATGATGTCATGGACTTGTTTTTTTTCATCGTTATCAACACAAATTTTTGAATCTTTTCCTAACTTTAGAAATATTTTCATGAAAAAGCATGTACATACTACGATAAAGCTCGAAATCTCTTATTGTCTCATAGTTTGCATTTGCTTGTGGAAAAATAATTTGAATAAAGAAAGCATTTCTTTAATTGATGCGTGCTAAAATTGATTACTCTTCCAACCTTTTTTTTAACGTCATACTTACAATGATAATCATTTTTTATAAAAGTGATTATAGATTTTGATAATGATTAGAGTTTGCTATCGTATTTATTATTTCTCTCGCTTTGCATCTAGAAACTGTAGACTAATTTAAGGATTATGTAGATTCCCTGAATTTTACAAATAAAAGAAATTCATTTTTTAAGTGTTCGTCAAACAAAAGTATCTATCGCATAACCCTATTTTCATCACATAGTTCATTATAGGATTAAGTGATTCTTGATAAAAGTGTACGAGGAAATTTTCAAGAATGCTTTGATGTTAAGAAGTACAAAATAAACGTGATGTTTAGAGATTCATCACATATTTTCAATCAATTTATTTTTGTCTCAAAGCAATGATATTGTTGTCGACTTTTTTGTCAGTGACGGTTAAGGAAAAGTTTTTATCCTACAGAAACGAGTTTTCATTTATTAAAAAAATCGTTATTCCCCATAGAAAAATCTACGTATTAAGTTTAAATATAGATGTTTTGATTGAATTCCGCCTTATATCTACACATAAATCGATTTATTGCAAAAAAAGTGTTTCCTCTCGAAATGAATCTATGAAATATTCGAGACAATCGAATTTTATCAAGATTTTCATAATTATCAAGCCATAAGCATAAAAATGTTCCTATGTTTTCGTTAAACATAGATTAAGTCATATTTAACCCAGTGCAATGAAACACGATTCAAATGAAAGAGAAAGAATATTGACTAAATCATCTAACTATTTTCTAAAAATATTCTTATACATCTATTTTAGATCGGAATTTTCTTTTAAGAAAAATGGAAACATCGACTGATTCAAGTTTATGCTCAACCTGTAATAAACATTCGGCTAAATACTGCTGTACTGGATGTAAAAACTACTTTTGTCCGAAGGATTTCAGACAACATGAACAGCAACTAGCAATAAAATTCGAAGATGAAATAGTTAGATCACATGATGAACTTCTTGATCAAATACAAAAATTAGAAAAATCAAATCATATTTCATTGGATATATTCAATCGAATTGAACAATGGAAAAAAACAACAATTAGCAAAGTCGAAAAAGCAGCAGAAAAAGCTTATCAAGAACTTAGCGAACTAATTGATAAACAAAGAATAGCAATTACAAAACAACTTGAACCAATAACACAAGAAATTCGTTCTCGTCGTGAAGACGAAAATTTTGTTGAAAATGATATTGATCGACTTAGACGAAAAATTAATGCACTTGATCAAACACTTAAACAATTTGTGCAAAATGATATACCTAAGAGCATCATTATTAATAGAGATCAAATTAATTGGAATCAACTCATCTACATTCGAGGAATGAAAGGCGAACAACAGAATTGTGAGTATGTTTAATTAAAGATATAGGAAAATAAGAAATCCACGAAATACTGTTGGTCATTCAATCCTTCTTTTCCATTTCGTTAATCGAAATAAATTAATTCATTCATAGATTAGAGTTGAACTCACCCTCTCCTCTACTCATCAGAGAAAAATCTTATTTAGATAGTTATAAGTTTCAGAGAAGATTCGTGTTGAGATCAGTATTTTTGTTAATGATTAGAAATCTGTATATTCTTGCACTTTTCCTTGTTTTGTATTCATTTTGTACACAGGTAGCCTCTATCTTATAAAGTATCAAAGAGAAAACAACAAGATATTATTCAAAAGTAACGCTTTTATATAGTATGACATGCAACAGTCATTTGAACACGACGGCTTTCATTTAAGGAACGAGTATGTGATGGTTTATATTTATTCTCTACTGAAAATTAATATGAAAAATGATCTCAGATTAATTTTCATATTGCATAGATGAGAATAATTTTCCGTTCACATTGAGATTGTCGAGCCTTCAAAAATTTGAATTCTATAATAAAATTTATTAAAGTAGAAGTTTTTTTCTTCGTTTTCCATAAAAATTTCACTTTTGACAACTAGAAAAACAGGGTTTTTATTCATTTGGAATCAATAATCCAAAACTATGATTATTTCATCTAAATTAAGATGTGAATAAATAAAAACTTATTGTTAATCTCAGGAAACAGAAATTATGTTCGAAAGTCTAATGTATTCTAAAACAAGAATCATTCGAGAAGATGTTAATAGATTTCGATAACTTTCATTCTATCTTTTGGCTTGAGCCACATTCACACTCTCAAATTAGAATCGATAAAGAAAATTAAGTCATTTGAAAAAAGAGTATTCACAGTGATTGTTTCTTAATCGAATGTCTGCAAACGATCAACGAACATATCTCAGTAGAACTTCGTCGGAGATGCATAAAGAAAGACAAATCGAATCCTTCAACATCCAACATGTATGATATTTTAAAACGAGTTGAAAAATCTTGATTCAATCTTGTAAAGTGTATTCTTGAAAGACTTCAAAATAATTCTAATGAATCATTTCTATAGTATATGATAATGTTGAATAAGTGAAATATGACAATCATTCTTTTTCTGAATTTAAATCGAATGTGAAAACAAGTTTCTTGATAAAGTCTTTGAAGAATTTAGAGATTTTCTGAAAATTGAATTCAATCAAACTTTATCAACTGTTCCTTATATTATTCTTCGAAAAATATGTCTTATTTCATCATTGACATCATATTCAAAGTTCTTAATTTGGATTTCATTATTTTTCACAGAGGTGTTAATATTCACTGGATTATATTTCTTTGAGAAATACTTAAAGCAAAATGTCTGATTGGATGGATTTCAAAATAAGGTCTTTTAGAGAGTTTTTAGAATTCTAGATCTATTTCAATCGAAAGCTAGTAATGATTTCCATTATCTTCAACTATTTTCAACAAATATTATATTCTTGAAAGAGGAACTCGGTCAAATTTTCTTCAGTAATTTGAATGTTTAATCATGACATATTGTTATTATCTAATATCGATTTTCATTGATGTACATGGATCCTTTATCTGTGAACGAAATTATGCTTTTTGTTTCAGCATCATTAGTACGTACTGCAAATCTGAATTCGTTTCTGACACGGATACATAATAGTGTAATAGTGGCTGGAGGTAGTGGCGAAGGTAATACAATGAATCAACTCAAAAAGCCATGGGGTTTGTGTGTTGATGATGATCATACTGTCTACATTGCAGACTGTTCGAATCATCGTATCATGGAATGGAAACATGGTGCGATGGTTGGTACAGTTATAACTGATGGAAACGAACAAGGAAATCGTCCTAAGCAGTTAAATGGTCCGAGAGATGTGACGATAGATAAGGAAAGAAATAGTTTCATTATTTGTGATTATGATAATGAAAGAGTAATTCGATGGCCTCGTCAAAAGGGTGCAAACGGAGAAACGATCATTGCAAATGTTCGATGTCATGGTTTGACAATGGATGACCGTGGATTTCTATATGTCGTCGATGAGAATAACCATGAAGTTAGACGATATCGAATGGGAGAAAATCAAGGAACAGTAATTGCGGGTGGAAATGGACAAGGGAATGATTTCAATCAGTTGTTCAATCCGACATATGTATTCGTTGATCGAGATCATTCAGTTTTCGTATCGGATACAAACAATCATCGAGTAATGAAATGGAAAGAGGGTGCAAAACAAGGCATTGTTGTGGCTGGGGGTCAAGGTCAAGGAAGTAGTCTTAAACAACTATCATATCCATATGGAATCGTCGTAGATCAGTTAGGCACTGTCTATGTGGCTGATTGTTTAAATAATCGAATCATGCGTTGGTTTGAAGGAAGTACACAGGGGAGTGTTTTCGTTGGTGGAAATGTTGCAGGAACTCAATTGAATGAACTCTCTGGCCCAGTCGGTTTGTCATTTGATCGAGAGGGTAATCTCTACGTGAGTGAGAACAGAAATCATCGAGTACGAAAATTCAACATCAAATGGATTTGATTGTTTTTAAAAGTTGATATTTTTTTGTACATTTTCACAATAACCTTGAATAAAACATTGAACAATAAAATTGTTTCGAAAATGATTATCTTGTATTGACTAGCAGATCATCATGAATAGAAAGGGGAAACGTCATTTTTTGTCAGCTTTCATCAATGATTTCTGTTTCGTATATTCTGAAATTATCTAAATGTTCTGTTTTGTCTACAAGTCAAAACATTTTATGTCCAAAATCAAGAGATCGATAATTTGAGAATTTCATCTGTGAAATAAGCTATTATCAAAGATGATTCGAACATCGATTCGTTGGGCAATTGAAGTTCTCTCTATGAAGTGAACAAAAATTTGGACGTAGTTTAGATATTGAAAGGATTTTTGTGGCTTCTGCCATCTCAAAAAAAAATGATTTTCATCCTGTCAAAGTACTTATACCATAAGCACCAATAACAGAATAATGAGCCACTTGTCAACGTTGACTATTACGAAAATGAGAAAAGATCAAGTAGTATACTGGACTAGTGTTGCGACTATGAAAGACAGCGAAGCAAAAATATCGTGGCAAATATTCATCATGATAAATGAGCAAACGCTACTTCATCAGGAAATCGAATGTGTGATAAGGTTGCAAGTTTATGAAAGATTAGTTTTGGTTGTGGACGTGAGTGTAGATGAGGTACTCACAGCCACACATCCACACTCTATAATAAAGCGATAAGCATGAAACATTTCGGAAACCATGTGAGAATGAGTTTCGCTTACAATTCATCGTATTCAAAGTTTTCATATCGATATTCGATTTATTGAACGCTTTCAGAGCTGGTTCATTCATGTTTTTTTTAATCCAAACCCGAACTATACTCTTAATACTCTCAATGAAATTTTCTTATCCAAATCTGATAGTCGTTTTGAATATACGATATGTTCTTTTTTTCGATTATTTGTATTCGGTGACATTGTGCGAGATGGATCAATTTTTTGTAATACATTCCGATCTGAGCATATTTAGGCTTGATCCTACCAGATCTGAGTATAACTAAACTAGACCCGATCTGAATATATAGCTAGGATCGATTCGATTCGAGATCAAAGATACCGTTTGGCCAATCAAAGCGAGTTTTCTTAGAGATCAAACATCTTTTCTAATGAATCTATACGGGCTCTCTAAAAACTGAAAGAAGCAAAATCATCATCTCATCCGATATTGCTGTTTGTCTTATGTAAAATTCGACATCGGTCAATTTATCATGACTCGGCTCGAGGGTGTTAGCATGTGGGTGTGAATGAAGAGAAAAACAACATCTAACCCTTCAGTATCTTCACAGTATTGAGTAAGTTATTTATTTGTTGTTTTTTTCAATGAATTATATATTTAATTATAAACATAAACCAATCGTTGAAAATATCGTTTACTTCTTCTTATGAAAAGTGAGCTTTCTAATTTCATCATTTTTCTTTTCTAATCCTTTTGAATATCTACGTAGATACTGTTCGTAAAGAATTTGAATCATTTATTGCTAAAGTTAAATATGTTTATTAATCACATAATAAACGTTGTAATCAACGAAAATCGATAGAAAAATAAATTTCAAAAAATCCAACGAATTTTTCTCTGCTAGATACTTGAAGATGAAAGGACTACGATTGAAAATTTTACAAGAAACAACATCGAAAACAGAAGTAAAGTTTGAGTTAGCTCAAACTGCTGCCATATTAGTCATGTAACAAAAAAATGAATCTGGTCCTCAAAAATCAACATCAAGTCTTAAAATACCAAATCCTCAACTTCCATTGGAGTATTTTATTCCATCAAATAAGCCTGTCTATTTCTTATGGCTTAATAACGATAAACTTGTTTACGAGGGTTGTGAAATATCCATTCTTTATTTCGAGAATTATATTCTTTCAATCAATAAAACTAAGCAAATACTTCAATATAGAATACAATGATTAATGATACATCAAAGATGTTACTGTGTGTAAGAAAATACAATAGTTCTAGTACGCAATTTTATTTTATTTTAGAATATTGGAGTGTTCATGTGTGGATAACTGTGGATGATACCTTTCTCTTCAACCACAAACCCACCTTTCATAAGGTTCCTAGAGAATTCTTGGGTTTCAGAGTGATTTCTATGATTTTAAACAACTTCGCGACATTCTTAAACTGTGTGAGACTTCAATACTGAAGCTTTTTTTGTTTTTCCCTTGAATGTCAGCGTGAATGAAGACAAGTTCCACACTCATAACCATCCAATACCTATATCCATATCTAGACAGAAGCGTCTCTTGATTCTTTTTTCCACAGTTGTCGTTAATCTAGAATGAAGATTCGTGGTTTACGGATGCCTTGATCGATTCATTTTTTTTTGTATGCATTATTTAACTCATCATTCAGTGCTGTGTTACGTAATTTTGCAACAAAAGTAAATTTTTCTTAGCAACTACTCTTTCTATGATATTGTTCCCTATCATTGTTTTTTTTCTAATGATATTATCATGGGAACATTAATTTCATTTGCCACCAATAGTTACAGCAAGTTTTTTTCGCTCGAAACAAAACTAAGCCTGTTGCGCAGTTCAACTCTCGTCAAAACAACTGTTTAACAATTTGGTTCAAGAGAAATGAGTTGCCCTAATAATTTTGATGATCTGACCTCATATGGATCTGTTGCATTGCTTAATAGGACTAAAAGTTTTATTCAAAGTTCTGATCTTTGTAGAAAAAAGTCGCAAATGAAAAACGCGTAGTTTTTTACTGTTCTAGTTTATAGTAGTAAGACAATAGTACGCAATAATATTAAGATGGGCGTAATACCAAATCGAACGTTGTTTTTATTTGAACCACTAGTGAGACTGCCGCATCCACTATCCTGACATCGATTACAATTGTCAGTGTAACAACAATGATATGTAAGGCTGCATGAAATGTTCATACTTTGAATAACTGGTGTCACTGTTTCAGTAGAGCTGCACAACGTAGTCTCACCACCCAACAAAATCGTATATGAAGAAGTAAAGCCTGGTGCCGTGCAAGTCATCGAGCCTGTCTAAAATATTCCACGTTGCCTTTCATTACATGAAGTCAAATCAAGCATCTACTCACTAAGCAAACATCATAACCAGGATGCTGCGTTATTGTTCCACATCCTGTATACGAATATTCACACACATTGCAAGTAAGTCCCTCCGTCAATCCAAGTACTAAAAATATACACATGCTTTTTCAAAGAGGCTTATAATCACTTACGAAACTTACAAGAGACAATTATTTGGATGGCAAAGAAGGATGTAAAGATCATTGTGGTACGTTCTTCGGAGAGTGGCTGGATAAATAAAACTGGCAAAAAGATGAGCTACTTTATATATATATATATCGATTACAGTGCAGCTTTCTTTTCTCTTTCCTTTGACAAAGAATATATGCTCACAAGTCGGATTTATTATGCGCGACGCTGATAAAATAGGTATCGCAATTCTTCATATATATAAAACTTGAAACTTGAATTCAATTGGAGTTTCAGGTTTCAACTTTTGGCTTTTAATTCTCAAATTTCAAGTTTCTAGTTTCAACCTTAAATGTTTGGTTTTCAAGTTTTAAGTTTCCATTTTCAGCGTGCAACTTCCACGTCCTAACTTTCCACGCGAAAGAAAACACTCGCGTCTCTCTCGATGTGTGAGACGACCAGTGCACACATAAAAACACACTGGGCACCGTGACTGGTGCAGATGCTGCGAAAGGACTAACACTGGCGACAACATACAGTCACACACAAGACATCGCGGCTGTTGTGTGTGCTGCGAAAGGACTTACACAAGTGACAACAGCGGATGTGTGACGGTCGCTGTGGGTGTAGTTTCGAGTCTTCGCTTAACCCACACCCGTACACACATCCACACTCACACTCCATCCACACCCTTCAATATCTCTATATCTTACCCATTCGTCATCAGACGACAACGAATCGACTTTTGAATTCCAATACCATTGAAAGTTATGTGGACGACGAAAAAGTAGAGTAGTATCAACAGTAGACATTCCGCCTTATTCTCTCGTTACAAAATCAATAATGATATTTTTATTTCTCTTCATCTTTCTTAGTTGACTTTCTTTCTAACTACACAGTGACTGTCTGATATATAAAACTCATCTGTTTATGATATGCGTTGACAATGCGAAAAAAAAGAGAAGCACAGAACAGAACAGAACAGAAAAAAAGAACTAGTCATGCAAATATTTATTATATCAAAATGTGTCTGAATCGCGTTTCATGTGTGTCTAGAGCGCTACATAAATATGAGCTGTAGACTATTTGAAAACGAATTGAACTTATATATGCTGATACGAACGAAAATAAGAAAGAGATGAAGTTCAATGCGCTCACACTGCACATTATCCTTAAAAAATATGTTACTTTTTTCTTAGTAAATCTTCTGTTTTCTAATTTTTATTTATTGTTGAAGATTCATATGTCACGTGATGCAGTGAAGTCTGTATTGCCTCGCTTTATATTGATTATCGGAAAAAAAGTTAACTGTAATAGTCTTAAGAAAGAAAAAACAAAGGAGGAGATTCAATTGAGGTGCGCTGCATTTGTAGGAAATCAACAATCATTGTCATTCCCTTTCCATCACCACTTTGTGAAATTTACATTATATCGTCTCTGGTTTGTGTTTCTTATAACATCAGTGTCTGATAACTTGTAACATCTACTGTTAACGATGATTAATAGATACTGGATGTATACATCGTCGATCACCGTATTGATAGTTAAGAACAATGTCTTCCACCTGCTAGTTTGTACAGAATAGTATAATCATCATAACAGTGTCAAAAATGAATACTGAATTGATTCTCAATAAATAAAATAGTTCCAATGGCGGACTTTTCGGTTGTATTCCTTTCCAAAGAGTAAGTATCGAGAGTAGTGTTCCGGCAGTTGCATAAAACGTCTCTATCATGATCGTAGTTTTGGTAAGTTTCATTTCACGTCTGGCATTCGGTATATGAGTAGTCATAGTTTTGGATATTGAAGGAGCAATTCTTCGAGATAATCTACGAGCATGATGAAAAATTATACTATAAATCATCATGGAACTATTCAGTAGAATAACAAATCCAACAGTTATGGCATACATGGATAGCGGGAAATTTTTGAAAGTGAGTAAGCAACGACGCGATTCTTTTTCGTATGTGAAACTACCATCAAAGAAAAATAGTACAGTTGAGAGCAAAATGCCAATTATTCAGTTTAAAGCAATCAAGCACCAATGAACACGGTAGGTAGTGAAATATTTATGTTTGGAGAAGACAGTAAAAAAAAGACGATAGATAGCTTGAATAAGATACGAGTAGCTAATGGACGTGGGCGTCGCCAGAAATACAAATGCATGGAAAACACATCCTGGTTGTTGAAGTGCCCAATCTTCGTGCAAACCAAAGATAGATGAGACAATATTGCAGATACAATAGGCTCCAATGAATACAATCGTATGACAAGTAGCAAGATTAGTGACTGCACGATATGGTGGATGAGCAGCAACGATAACAATTATGATAAGATCCAAGATCAAACCGACAGTCGACACCACGATTGATAGCGAGAAATCGATAATGTAAAATAATTCAGTAAGCATGTTTGCAACTAAAGACTTTTGAGGAGAATCATGTAAGAAACATAGCAGCCACTAACATGATTTTTTTTCATTTGCGCGTTTTCATTCTTGAAGAGACATATAAAATGACAATAGTCATACATCTGAATGCCTTCCTTTATTTAAAACTGTCATCAGTACCTTGTCATGCGTCTGACAAAATCAAAGCCTATTAATAACGGCTTTGAAACTGAGAATGATATGATATGAGTTGATAGACTATCCAACCATCACTAGACAATATTCTTTTTTTCTATCTATCCAATGACAGAAAGAGTAACGGTGTTTAATACATGAAGTTTCGTTCTAGAAGAACATTCTAACTATGGGCCATAAGGCATGCATCGACTTGTTCAAGGACAATAATCTCATGATGCTAAAGCGACAAAACATCGAAAGTAAGAATATTGAAGAGCAAAATCTCGAAAGTGTTGGGCATTGGCGGAGACTGTTGAGAATTTTCGAATACTACATTTTCTATTAGTTTACTTCTATAAAGTGAGAGAAGATACAGGTTTTTTCATTGTTCTCGAGGACAAGAAGAATAAAAATAGATGAAAAAATTGGAATCGATTCTTCTATTATCCTTTTCTTAACTACATTTTTGAACATTCGCCATTCTATATCTGCTGATGATGGCAAATGACTACCATGATTATCTTTACTTTTAATTAATTGATTATTACAATTCATATGAATACTGACACTACACATATGCTCTTGGCAAGTTCAACAGTCCACTTTCG